GGAAAGAGTTCCAGCCCACCCTAGCTGGGAGAAATCAACTTGGGAAGCAGTGATGTGGAAGAGGGGAGACTGGCATGGGCCCCCTCACGGCGTGCCTGGCCAGGAAACGCTGGGACAGTGGGAAGTAGCAGTGGCCCAGGTTTAATCTTTGATGTGTGTGACCTTTAATGAAGGTTTCTTAACCTGGGGGAACGACTGGGAGTTGAGAAAAGGGGGTTGGCTAAAAAGATGGAAGTCCTAGAAACTGGACCAATCTCCAATATAGCCACACCCACTTGGATTCCTCCCATGTCGACCAAAAAGCTAGGTTGAAGTCCTAAGCCCTGGGACTCAGCGCGTGAGCTGATTTGGATAAAGGGCCACTGCAGGTAGCTGGCCAGGATGAGATCATACCGGGGGAGGACAGACCCTACTCCCATATGCCCGGTGTCCTTATAAGACACATGGAGAGGATGGCATGTGATGATGGAGGCAGAGACTGGGGCGAGGCATCTACAAGCCAGGAACACTGGCCAACACCAGAAGCCAGGGAGCAGCAAGGAAGGACCCCCTGCAGGTTTTTGGGGTCCTGCCAGCACCTTGACTTAGACTCCCAGTCTGAGGAACTGTGGGACCATGCCCCATTTGTGTCCTTAGTTATCAGCCTCTAGGGTTCAGCTAGAGGTCCCAGGACATAAGGACAGATGCCCCAAATGAGAAGCTGTGTGGGCAGGTCATGGAGGGACTGCTGTGGGTCTCCGAGGCCTGAGCAGGTAGCCCCAGCACCTCTGGGCCTCTCACCCTGAGCTCAAATAGTCCTGGTTCCCAGCAGGGTGTGGTGTGGTGTGCACTAGGACCCAAGGGACACATGCCAGGGGCCTTTGTGGCCCAGAGAACAGACAACCTGTCCCTGGAAAGAGGCCTTTTCAGTTCTGCAGGGAGGGAACATCAAGATTAGGAGGCACTCAGTAGGTGTGTGAAGAATGCCCAGGGCTGCCCAGGGTGGATCGCTGATGCTAGTAAAGCTCAAACTTCCAGGCTTCTCATGAGCCTGAGCCTCCTCCAAGGCTGAGCCTTCGATCGATTGGCACCTGGTCCAGTTGGTGTCCTATACCCAAAGGTCTCCTGCCGCATAAGCATTAAGCCCCACAAAACCCGGATGCATCTCTAAGAGCTCCCACACATGGGCGACCCCCAGGTGCTAGAGCTGCCGCAGGAGGCCTAAGGGCCTCCTGGTGGGATGCCTTGGGGCTGAATTAAGTTTTCAGGCTAACAGCTCCCTCTATAACCACCCACTGCATCACTGGGCTTCAGCCTGTGGCCTGCCAGCTAGCTGCACCCAGGTGTCGGGGCAGGGGCTCTCCTCACTGGGTCTGCCCAGGGCCTCGCCAGTAAGTGTAACCATCCCAGAGCCCTGAGGGAGGGAAGGACTTGCAGTCCAGCCTCATTGTCTGTAGGACCTCAACATTCGAGACCATTTATTTTCTTTCCAGGACTCTGGGAACCAGCAAGAGCACAGGCTCATACTACCCGAGAGGCAGGGTGCGGCAGCTGGGCAGGTTCACATGCTCTGGGCCTGGCAGGCTGTACACCAGGGTCCATAGGAGCCCCATGGGCCTGGCTGCCCTGATGGGGGACTGCAGCATAGGGCAGGACACCTCAGAACCGGACGTGGGAGCCTTGCTTCATGGAGGGCGCAAGGGCAGCCTTCAGAGGTCCCGGGTGCCACTCAAGGGAGGAAGTGATGGGCATGGGGCTCGCCAGGCGCTGCAGGATGGACTCGGACACCTGGGATGGGGCCAAGGAGGAGGACAGGGCCGTCGAGGCTGACCAAGGCCGCAGTGAGAACATGGAGAACTGGGGCTTTGGGGAGGCAGACGAGTTGGAGTCCAGCAATCTGGAAGCAGACGCTGCTGAGGACAGCAAGGAGAAGTGGGAGAGGGTGGCAGCAGGCGTGCTGGCCACAGTGTCTGGCAAGGTCTGCGCCTTGTCGGGCTCCAGGTCCTCCGGGTCCTTCTGACGGGTCACCAGATGGATGCGCCGGCCCTGCTGGTCCAGGGGCCTGTGCACCATGAAGTTGGGCTGCTGGATAGGCGTCAGCTGGCTGAAGTATAGGCTCTGGTAGATCTGGGGGGAGATCTGCAGGGACAGGGCAGGGAGAAAGGGCAGGACACCTGCTGGAGCCCAGGGCACCGGGCTCTTCTGTGAAGGACCCCGAGGCCCCCATGCAGAAGCAGCCTCTGGACTGCAGTGATGACCGTAGCTAACGACAGCAGCCTGCACGCTGGCATGTCCACGCTGCGCAGGGCCAGCACCCAGCCTTTCCTCCAGACGATCACCTGGTGCTCGGGCAGCCCTATGAGGTTGGCACCAAGGCTATCCCCTTCCTAGAACAAGGCCACAGACTGGGCACTGAGGGGGTCCAGGTGCAGTGAACTGGGACAGGCGCCTCCCCCCCCTTAGTACTTGCCAAGCTGGGTTCCGAGGGCACCTCTAGGCCAGGAACAGGGATATTGAGTGATCCCTCTCACACTAACCTTCTCCCCCTCTACCCCCTGCAGTCCCCAACCCAGAACAGAGGAGCCTGGCAGGGACATGGCCTTTGGCATTATTTATTTGTCCCTAATCCCCACCACAGAAAGTTGATCCCATAATGCCTATGGCAGGAGAGGGAGAGGCTGGGAGCTGCCCAGTCAAGAGACAGGATGAAGCTGGCATCCAGCCTCTCTAAAGTCCCCTGTTCTTTCTGTCCCCAAGGAGAGTCACCATTCCATTTGCTCCATCGCTTACTTTGTGCCTGGCCCCATGACATCCCATGTCTGCTCTTGAGTACCCACAGTAATGGAGGCATGCTAGTAAATTCTCTAAGCAAACAATCAGCCACAGTCTATGGGGAATACTTTGAAGCTACAGGCAGGTGCCAGGACTAGAGGACCTGCTCCCACAGGACCAGCGAGGTGTTATTGAGGACAAAACCTGGGCCCATAGCTTCAGTCAGGGCCTTGGGACACCGACCTGTCAGAGCTGCCTCCTCCAGAGCCATCTGTAGCCCAGACCTTGCTAAAGGAAAAATGTCCCCTACCCACTAGAGGGCTATGGCACAGGATGGCCCAACAGAGATGGATCCCCTGGCCTCGTCCCCACATCTGTGATGGCTGATGGGGCTGGCCCACGTGGTCTCACCTGCTGCTTCATCCAGCCATACTTCACGTTGGTGGACAGGATTCTGGGACTCCGTGACCGTTCCTTCGGCTTATATGCTGTTCCCAAGATTTTGCTCACCTGCAGGAGTCACGGCAAGAGTGAGGCGAAGAGCTGGGGGCTCCCCGCCCCTCCCTCCTGCCCCACCCAGCCTCACCTGCTTGCCCGTGGACTCCCACTTGCTCCAGCTGTCCTCGATGTCTTCCAGTGGGCGCTCTTTGGCCCATGGGGCCACCAGGGCCATTTTCTGCAGCCGGGCCCAAGCCTCTGCCTCCGTATCCGCTTTTCCATTCAGAAGGGCCATCAACGCCACCTGCTCCCGCCGCTGATACACCAGGGCCTCAGCAAGATCCCGCTCCTCCCTGCTGACAAGCTTTCCTTCACACAACGTCCCCCACAGCACAAGGGACATCCCCCAAGAGGACCCCCCTGCTGAGCCTGATCCTCACCAACTCTCTCGTCCTTCCCCTACTCCCTGCCCCAGGCCTCAGTCCTGAGGCCTTACGCTGAGCTAGCATCCAGTTAATGTCATCAAAGCCTGGCCCGGGACCCAGCCAGTCCTGCCCTCTTCCCATCACTGTGCTTTCCTCCACGGAGCCCTGACTCCCATTCTGGTCTTCCTTGGACCTCCCCTGTGGGACACAACATCCTTCCCTCTACCCCAGGGAACTTTGCAATATCCGGGGTATGCCTTGATGGGAGCACAGGAGCCACAAAGATAGACTGGCAAACTCCCACTTGCTTGTCCAAACCCAGATCCCAAATCTCTCCTGTGAAACCTTCAGTCGATCTACCCAATCGGGTGGACAGTCCTCTGAGCCAACCTCGTTTCTAATACTCCCCTCACTTATCACAGAACTGTCACAGAGCAGCCATGAGTATGCATATTCATCTCCCCGAGCGGACTGTGAGTTCTCTGAGGCAGGACCAATGTCAGGATTATTTTGGATCTCTAGAACCTACCATGAGGTCTAGCAGTGAGCAGAACCTCAATACATATTTTGGGTTTTTGTTGTTGCTGTTGTTTGTTTTTAAGTTTTCTTAACATTATTTTGTTTTTAAGTTTTGTTATAAGATGTGTGAGCTCACTAGAGACAGACAGAGAGAGAGAAAATGAGAAAGTACCCCCTTGGAGGGGATGGCCACACTGCAATCCCTTCTTCATTCTCCCCTCAGGATTTTAGGCACACACACATACACACACACACACACACACACACATGCCTGGTGTGTTTTTCAAGCCATCGGTTCCAGGAATAGAACCATGAAGTCAGTCAGCCATGTGGGATCCAGCTACCTTACCCACCATACCACAGGTTGGCCCTAATAATTTTTTTAATAAACCAAAATGATTGAGCCTCAGTCAGGAATATGAACGGAGTGGGTGGAGAGGGTGGAGTGAGTAGGGAAGGGGAAGGAGGAGGGAGCACGCAGCCTGCTCTTCCCCATGACTCAGACGACACAGAGTCTGGGACATGGGGACATGGGCCTGGGTGCTCTCCAGGGGTCCTCCGCTGTGTAGAACCTCTGCAGGGAAGCCAGCCCCAGCAAATGTGAGACCGGCCAAGGGGCGGGGCCCTATCTGAACACCTGGGGGTTTGTGTATCCCCTTTTTGTCACTCGATGGTTCCAGTTGAGCTGGGCTAGAACGGGGCTGCAGGTTCTCCAGCCAAGCTGCTGCCTATAGAGTAGTCGCTTGCAAGTCCCAAGTCTCTGGCCTTTCATGGGTCTACCCCACGCATGCCCAGCACTACTCAACCCAGGCAGAGGCTTCCTGGAACCTGGGGAGACTTGCAACATCTCGCTCCTCGGGCCAGAGCAGATCGAGGGGACCATGGCAACTCACTGCAGCTCCAGGCGGGAAGGCTTGTGGGCAGTGCCTTTGGAGTCAGCTTTCTCCTCTAAGCTTGCTTCTTCTTCGAGACCATCCATCGGGGTATCTTGTAGCCTCTTCCAAATATCCAGGCCAAATGTCCCTGTGATTGGACCAGACCCTGCTCAGAGCAAGGACTCCTCTGAACCCTCTGCCCCATGCCCTCTACCCTCAAAAGTCAGCCAGCGCCCCTTACCCTAGCCCATCCATTCGCCCAAATATTGAGTGTCCACCATATGCCAGGCATTATGCTGGGAATTCAACAATATCTGGATGAACCAGACACTAGGGCTAGGATACACGTGAACACGGGCCTAAAGCATCCTGACCCACAGCTAGGTTGAGATGGGGAGAGGATGATGGCAAGGATCGAATGATCTTTAGTTGGGCTTCAAGTAGCTCATGTACTTGAAGACATCCATTCGATATGAGATTTGGGGTAGGGGTGGAGAAGAATGGGGCTGCAATAAAAGGTAGGTAGTAAAAACAGAGAAACATGAGTACTGATTCTGGGCAGAGTATAGTGAAGACTAGGCCATTCTCCCACTATTAAATTTCTAAAATTGAGAAAAATAAATGTTACAAGTTCATATTTAAAAAAAAATCACTGGTGGGCCAGCAGGTAGCATAAGTGGTTAAGGTGGCTGGATCCCAAATGGCTGACAGCACAGCTCAAGTCCTAGACCCGGTAGATTGAAAAACATTCCAAGAGCATGGGCATGGGCATGGGCATGGGCATGTGCGTCCAAATTCCCAAGAGAAGAATAGAGGAAAAAGGATTAACACATGGCCATCTCCCCCTGGGGGGTGATTTCTCATTTTCCTTCTCTCTGTCTCTGTTTCTCTCTGGCGAGCACATGTGCCTCATAGGAAAAAATAAAGAAATAAATAAAAACTTAAAAGAAAATCATTGGAGAACTGTAGAAGCACAAATGATGAACTAAAATTACAGAAAGAGGGGCCAGCAGATGGCATAATGGCTATGTTGCTGGACTCACATGTAGTCGACCACAGTTCGAGTCCCGGACTCAGTGGCATAAACTCACCCCTGGCATGTGTGTGTGTGTGTGTGTGTGTGTGTGTGTGTGTGTGCCCGAGATCCCGAGAGGACAATTGAGGAGAAGGGACTGCAGCACAGCTATCCCCCTGGGGAGCGATTTCTCAGTTTCTGTCTCTGTCTGTCTTTCTGGCAAGCGCAAGCACCCTATAGCAAAAACTTCTCCAAAAAAGAAAAGAAGAAAATCACAGAAAGAAAAGAATTAAAAAATAATTGGGATTGGGAACTTCTTTATTTTCTGGAAGGCATTTCTGATCTGGGCACATGTTTGGCTTAGGCAGAAGGAAGCTGCTTCTGAGAGCCAGCGAGGCTGGTAGGAATGATGATGTCTGGTGGAACCCTACATGTAGAGCCGTATTTCCACAAGGACTTTGCTGAGCACTGGGGAGGCTGGGGCTGTAGGGTTCGGAGTAGAACAGAGAATGAGACCATTGGGAGACAGAGTCCCACTGAAAGAAGAAGCCAGCAACAAGCACGACAGACTTCACCCTGACAACTGAAGACAGAGGCAAACTGAGTCTACCTGAAGCGGCAGTCCAACCCCAACCCGGCTCAGTTCCTGATTTGACTGAGGTAATCAGCCCTCTGCAACAGAGAGAGCACATGCTCTGGGTGAAAGTAACATCCACGTCAGTCTCCAGCATTCCCTTAAAGTCTACAACAGTTTGTTTTTGTTTTACATACATGACTTGTGGAAGGACAAGAAAAATGTAACCAACAATCAAAAGAAGAAATAAGCATTAGAAGCACACACCCTTCAGACAATTCAGACATTGGAGTTAGCAGATAAAAACTTCAAAATAGGGGCCAGCAGGTGGCACGGTGGTTAAAGCGCTAGACATTCCCACATGGCCAAACACAGTTCGAGTCCTAGACCTGGTGGCAGGCTTTCTCGCTTTCCTTCTCTGTTTCTCTCTCTGGTCAACTTGAAATAAATAAGTGACTAAATAATTTTTTAAAAAACTTCAAAATAGTTATATACAGCTATTATAAATAATGTTTAATAAGATACAGAAAAAAAATTAAGAAAATGTAAGAAGAAGGCAAGTTGGAACTGAGAATTCCATTTAGAAAAGAATTAAGTGGGCCCTCCAGAACTAAAGAGTGCAGTGTCCGGGGCCAGTTCTGTGGTGTGCTGTGCTGTGGTGGTATCATGCTGCTCAAAGCGGCAGATCCCACATGGTGACCGTGGTCCAGATCTCCAGCCTGGATCAGCCTGAAACACACATGGCACGTACACAAGTACCCAGCATCCAATGGGCTGGAGGACTTGGGGGAAGCGGCTCACAGCACGACCAGACCCTGTGGAGGGTGTTCGCCTCTCTCTCATACATGCATACATGCTCTAGCCTAAATAAAGAAGAAAGTTTAAAAGAGAGATTTCATATCATTTGTTTTATACCATGATTTTTAAAATAAGGTTTTAGGGGGGCTGGGGTAGGTGGTGATGATAACGCAAAGAGCTGCAAGGCTGACCCACGTGGCAAGTTTCCAGGTTCACATCTAGAGACTTCCTTAAATATGCCAGGTGCACAGGCACCCAGGATTCGGGGCTGATTGAAGATGGGGGTGGATCGCACCGTAAGGATCCTTTTGGGGTGCCTGTCTTTCTGTGTCTGTCTCTCAGGGAAGAAAGAAAGAAAACTTTAAAAATATGTATTTGGAGAGAAAAATTACAAAAACATAAGCCATAAATGACGAGACTGAGTTCTGGACCTGGTGACTTGCTTTCTCACTTTCTTTCTCTCTCTGTTTCTCTCTGATTGGCCCCAAAAATAAAATTAAAATAAAATAAAATAAAATAGTGACCACTTTGAAAGACTGACAGTTTGGCAGTATCAACCCTGTGATTATTTGGCAATTCCATTCCTAAATATATACCTGACAAAAATGCACACATTTGTACACCAAATACATATGAATGTTTATAACAGCATAATTTCTAATATGTCAAAATAGCTAGAAACAACCCCAATGAACACCAACAGTAGCACAGAAAAAATAAATTATGATATATCAACAATAGAATATTTGTCAGCAATAAGAATGAATGAACTACAGGAGCAGCAGTTAGCATAATGGCTATGTTGCTGGACTCCCATGTAGTCGACTGCAGTTCAAGTCCCGGACCTGGTGGCTTAAACTCACGCTGGGCGCGTGTACATGCATGCCCAAGATCCCGAGAGGAGAATGGAGGAGTAGGGGTTGTGGCGTGGCCATCCCCCCTGGGGGGCGATTTCTCACTTTCTGTCTCTCTGTCTCTCTCTGGCGAGTGCATATGCCCTATAGCAAAAACCTCTCCAAGAAAAGAAAAAGAAAAAAAGAATGAATAAATTATTACACTTGACAAATGGATGAATTTCATAAACATAATGTGCATCATTGTAGAGAGAAAGAAATCAGACACAAAGAAGAACCTAGCCCACGATTTCATTTATACAAAATTCAAAACCAGACAAACTCAATGTATGGATATATAAATCAAGAGGATGGCTACTATTAGAGAGAGGGGGACGGTCAGGGTACGGGTGTCCCTAGAGGGCTGGTTTCTGCTTCTTGATACAGATGGTGGCTATATAGAAATATGTTGACTCTGAAAATTCACCAAGCTGAACTCTGTTAGTTTTTATGTGCTTTTTCCTTAGGTCTGTTGTATGCAAGGATTAAGCTTACCTTTTTTTTTTTTAAGTTCTTGCTATAGGGTGTGTGCGCTCGCCAGACAGAGAGAGACAGAGAGACAGAAAGCGAGAAATCACCCCCCAGGGGGGATGGCCATGCCGCAATCCCCTCTCCTCCGTTCTCCTCTCAGGATCTTGGGCACGCACGCACATGCGCCCACCCAGCGTGAGTTTAAGCCACCGGGTCCAGGACTCGAACCTCAGTCGACTACGTGGGAGTCCAGCGACATAGCCATTACGCTAACTGCTGGTCCCAGATTAAGCTTACTTTTTAAGGAATTATTTATTCTATTATTATTATTTATTATTATTATTTCACTTGAGTTTTGCCAGGGAAAGACAGAGTGAGTAAGTGAGAGAAAGAGACAGAGAACAAGCTGCCAAGTCTGGGACTCAAACCGCAGTCAGCCATGTAGGAAAATTCCAGTACCTTAACCACCACCACCTGCTGGCCCCTGATTAAGCTTATTTTTTAATGAGAGAAAGGGATATACCTTAGATACATGATTTTCCAAAATATACAAAGACAAACAACATTGGATGGGTGAATAGCTGAGGAATGAATGCGCAGACGCCAGAATGGATCATTGGACAGACTCACTACCTGTAATACTATTTGAGCAAAGCTGCTGCTATGGCTCCAAACCCCTCTCCCATAAGGTTTCAGATGCATGCCAACTTACATTCTAACAGGAATAGGACAAGAAGGCATGGCTGAGATTTAGCAAGACCCATCCCAGCACCACCACCTACCAATGGCATCACCGGAGAGTTTCCATGCCTTGACGTTCCGGTCCTGGCCAGCACTGATAACCAGCTGAAAGCTCTCCACGTACAGGATGTCTGCCACACTATCCAGATGGCCTTTCCAGGTAATCAAGAGTTTAGGGGGAACCAAGGAAATGGTCTGGCCATCCACAACCTAGAGGAGACAGGAGATCTACTTACACCAAGAGCACCAGGCAAGCTTAGCACAGCGTACCCAGGAAGGGAGGCAGCAGAGCCTGGTAGAAGGGTCCTGGGACGTAAGTCAGTGTTCTAGTTCTAGACACATTCCACATGAACTTGCTGGTGACTTTAGGCAGTTCCTGGCACTTCTTTGGCCCTCAATGGCCTCTTTGGTAACACTGTAAACCAATTTGCATATTGCTATATTGTTAACTTAGTGCCCTTAACGGATTGTTCCATTTGAAATCCACAACCTTATAGAGATTCCCACAGTCTAACAGAAGCCAGGAGTGAGAATCAGAGACTTTCAGTAACCAGACCAGGCCACATAGCTAGAAGATGATGGGGCCAGGACAAAACCCAGGTCTTCTCAAGTGTTTCAGGTGGACACTGGGAGAATAGGATGAGTAGGGGGTGATATATCACATTACACTATGATGGAATAAAACTCTACTTAACTGGAAAATCAATGAAAATGACCAGGCCTTTTTGAAATAAAACAGGAATGATGAAGGGGGATTTATTCTACCATATGTAAGTATGGTAAATCAAAATAATACAAACTTCAAACAGAACAATAGCGGGCAATAGAGAATTTAAAATCCAACCCAAATTTACATAAATCTTAGGTATAGGATGAATGGTTATAAAAAGCATGAGTTTCGGGCCAGCAGCTGGACCCCAGAAAGGCTGACCGCAGTTCAAGTCTCAGACCTGGCATCTTGAAAATTACACTAGGTGCATGTGTGTGCATGCCCGAAATTGCAGGAGGAGAATGGGGGAGAAGGAATTGCAACATGGCCATTCCCCCAGGGGGTGATTTCTTATTTTCCATCTCTGTCTCCTCTGGCAAACATACATGCCCTATGGCAAAAACTTTTTTTAAAAAGGCCAGTAAGTAGCATAGTGGTTAAGGCACTGGACTCCTACATGGCCAACCTGGACCTAGCAGCTTGAAACTCACAGTGGACATGTGTGCGTGCATGCCAAAAAGTCCAAAAGGAAAATGGAGAGGGGACCAGCAGTTAGCATAATGGCTATGTCGCTAGACTCCCATGTAGTCAACCGTGGTTCGTGTCCCGGACCCGGTGACTTAAACTCACACCGGGCGCGTATGCGTGCGTGCCCAGGATCCTGAGAGGAGAATAAAGGAGAAGGGATTGCGGCGTGGCCATCCCCCCTGGGGGGTGATTTCTCGCTTTCTGTCTCTCTCTGTCTGGTGAGCGCACGCACCCTGTAGGAAAAACCTCTCCAAAAAAAAAAGGAAAATGGAGGGGAAGCAGTAGCAGCGTGACTATCCCCCTGGGGAGTGATTTCTTACTTTCTGTCTCTCTTCTTCTGTCTCTTTCTTTTTTGGGGGGGAAGGGAATTTTCACTATAGGGTGCATGCGCTCACCAGACAGAGAAAGACACAGAGACAGAAAGCGAGAAATCACCCCCCAGGGGGGATGGTCACACCGCAATCCCTTCTCCTCCATTCTCCTCTCAGGATCTTGGGCACGCACGCACACGCCACCTACATGGGAGTCCAGCGACATAGCCATTACGCTAACTGCTGGTTCCCTCTTCTTCTGTCTCTTTGGCAAGGGTACACACTCTATTGGAAAAATCTCTCTCAAATAAATAAATAAATAAATAAATAAATAAATAAATAAATAAATAAACAAACAAACAAACAGAAATAATTTGTACCTTAAAATCACTCAAAAAGATTTTTATTAACCTCAAAGCATTTTATTTATTGGCACTCTGTAGACCTACTGCATCCACCGATGAATACTGCTAATAAATATCACAGGTTGTTGAGGATAAAGTAAAACAGGCTAATGAAATACAAAAGAGCATACACTTTCTGGCGTGCCATTCAGCAGTATGTATCAAGGACCTTAAAAAGATTTATGTTGGGGCCAGCAGGTGGTGTGGTGATTGGGGCACTAGACCCCTGCATGGCCGACTGCAAGGGTCTAGTCCCAGATCTGGCAGCTTGCTTTCTCACTTTCCCTCTCAAATGAAAAAACAATAATAAATAAAAATTTTAAAAACAAATAATTCTTTTCTTTAACTTTTTAAAATTAATTTATTTTACATACTTTCACTGAACATCACCACAGCATACCAAATGTGATTTTCCAGCCAATATACCATAAAGTAGCTTAATCATATATGTTATCATCAACAAATAATTTTTTATTTCTTGTTTCTTGTATATATATTTCCTCTCCCTATTTCTCACCCTCTGCCATTTCCCATCCTCCTCCCACCCTGTCTCTGTATCTGCAGTTGATTTCCATTCTTTTATTCTTTCCCACATCGTATTGATTCACAAAATATCTTAATTAATCTAAATATTTTAAATAGTAAGTTCAGCTGATATATACATATCTGTTAACAAAAGTTGACTTTAGGCATGAAACTCTGTGGGTAGAATGAGTATACTATAAAATAGCACAAAACTGAGGCCATATATTGCTTACTGTGGTTGCTAAATAGGTATTTTTTAAATACATTTTTTAATTTCAAGAAAGCCAGCTTGAGACCAGCAGTTAGTGTAATGGCTATGTCGCTGGACTTCCACGTAGTCGACTGCGGTTCGAGTCCCGGGCCCAGTGGCTTAAACTTATGCCCGGCGCGTGTGCGTGCTTACCCAAGATCCCGAGAGGAGAATGGAGGAGAAGGGATTGCGGTGTGACCATCCCCCCGGGGGGTGATTTCTCGCTTTCTGTCTCTGTGTCTCTCTCTGTCTGGCGAGTGCACGCGCCCTATAGCAAAAACCTCTCCAAAAAAAATGTTTAGAGAATTTTGCTTAATATTTAAAGCCAGGAAACTGATTAGGATTCTGTTAGAAGAGTAGATACATGGACCCATCCACAAATGGAGAGAAGATAAAACTCCTTAACACTGGAAAACAAAGCAAAGAAGATCAGCAATGTTTTAGTCGAAAGTCATAACATTCTCTTTCACCAGTTCAAACTCATGTACTATATATTCTGTTGTGGGCCGATCTTTCCTTTAAATTCTGGAAGATAACGTTCAACTCTGGACTTGTCCCTACCATTAAGCTGGCCATTTTCTTAGCTTGGCCATTTCTGTGTGTCTGACTTTAGTTTCCCTGGGATAGCACTCCCTTCAGATCTTCTTGGAGGGCTGGTCTGGTGTTGCAAATTCTTTCAGGTTTTGTTTATCTGAGAATGTCTGTCTTCTCTTCCCATATGGAGGATAATCTTGCCAGATATAGTATTCTTGGTTGAAATTGTTTTTCACTCAACACTTTGAATATGTTTTCCCATTCTTTCCTTGCTCACATTGTTTCCAATGAGAGGTCTGCTGTTACCCTGATGGGATATCCTTTGTAGGTTACTTGACATTTTCCTCTTGCCAGTCTGAGTATCTTGTCTTTGTCCATGGTTTTGGTCATTCTGGCTATAATGTGTCTTGGAGAAGATCTTCTTGGGTTGATCCTATTTGGGGTCTTTTGTACTTCATAGGTCTGCACCTTTGAATTCCTCTCTAGGTTTGGGAAGTTTTCTTCAGGATTTCATGGAATAGATTGTCAATGCCTTAATGAGTCTCTTTACCTTCTGTGATATTGATTATCCAGATGTTTGGACGTTTAATGGTATCTAGTATTTCTCATATATTATTCTCATCTTTTGGGCAATTTTCTCAGTCTTCATGGTGAACTTTACTAGTCCAGTGATCCTGTTTTCTACATCTGAGATTTGATTTTCTATATGATCTAGTCTGCTTTTAATACTTTCAAAGGAGGTTTTGACTTTCCGTGTCATAGCCTTCATCTCCAACAGTTCCATTTGATTGTTTTTTATGGAGTGTATTTCCACTTGCAAGAACTTCCTCACCTCCTGGAACTCACAGGCTTTTTTCTTTTGGTGTTCATTGTCTCTCTTCTCTTCCATCTCTATTAGTTTTGTCACTATGAATACTCTAAATGCTTTATCAGAGAATTCCATGAGTTCTATTGTACTATCTGTGGATGAAGAAGAGTTATTCTTTTCCCTTGGGGGTGAGGTATTTTCTTGGTTTCACATCTTTCTATTGCCCATGCAGTAATTTCTAGCCATCTGATGGGTTATTTGTTTCTTCCTAATTTCTAGAAGATCAATCTGAGTTGTCAGAGGTGCATAGGCAGATGTGGTCTGCAGACTCTTTGACATTGTGTTTTTCTCCCTTTCTGCCACAGATTCAGTGGGAGTTGAGGAATATGAGGACCCAAATAGTATTCGGGTTTTGGTAACTATATTAACAATGTTAAATCTTCCCATCCATAAATGTGGGATGTGTTTCCATCTATTTAAGCTTTCTTTTTTTTTTTCCTGGAGAGGTTTTTGCTATGGGGTATGTGCGCTTGCCAGAAAGACAGAGAGAGACAGAGAGACAGAAAGTGAGAAATCACCCCCCCCAGGGGGATGGCCATAAGAATTTTTTAAAGGAAAAAAATGTGATATAGTTACATAAAATAGAACCTCAATTTGTTCAAGATTTATCACTATAAAACAGCAAATGGTCAGGAACAGATTCTGCAGTCAGAGACCTGACTTTAGCCCCAGGTCCAACACTAGCATCTGCATGCACTTAGAGAGGTCTCTCCCACTCTTTGGTTTCATCTACCTCATCTGAAAAATAATATCTCCCGTAAGAGTCAGAATGAAGATTCAAGATCATCATGCATAAAGCACTCATTACAATCCCTGAAATTGAGTAAGCATTAAATAAATGACACTTATTTTATTTTTTTAGTTTGGCTATAGGGCACATGCATTCACCAAAGACAGAAAGAAAGATAGTGAGAAAATGAGAAATCATTCCTCAGAAGGAATGGCCACACTGCAATCCCTTCTCTATTCTCCTCTTCGGATTTGGGGCATACACGCACACATGCCCTGTGTATTTTTCAAGCCTCCAGGTTCAGGACTGCACAGTCGGCCATGTGGGATCCAGCTGCCTAAATCACCACACTGCCAGCTGACCCAATAAATGACATTTCTTATTGTTGTTAAAATTGCATTATCAATTCATCATATACTGAATTCATAAATAATCAATTCCCAACAGATCTGAATACAGTGAAATTTTCTTCACACTAAACTAGACTGAACATAATGTATTTATGTGCAGATTCAAAACGTACCTCAAACTGCAAGATGGCTATCAAAATACTATATGTAGTGTCTATACCAGACTTACTTCTTCCCGTCTATGCTCATGGGCACTTGCGTTGTTTCTAATGTGCCATTATTATGAATAGTAATTCTATTAACATTTTTACTCATACCCTTTAGTGTGTGTATTTCTCTTGGGTGTAAACCAAGGAGTAGAACTGCCGGAAGATAGGCATAGGTCTGCACCTTTGAATTCCTCTCTAGGTTTGGGAAGTTTTCTTCAGGATTTCATGGAATAGATTGTCAATGCCTTAATGAGTCTCTTTACCTTCTGTGATATTGATTATCCAGATGTTTGGACGTTTAATGGTATCTAGTATTTCTCATATATTATTCTCATCTTTTGGGCAATTTTCTCAGTCTTCATGGTGAACTTTACTAGTCCAGTGATCCTGTTTTCTACATCTGAGATTTGATTTTCTATATGATCTAGTCTGCTTTTAATACTTTCAAAGGAGGTTTTGACTTTCCGTGTCATAGCCTTCATCTCCAACAGTTCCATTTGATTGTTTTTTATGGAGTGTATTTCCACTTGCAAGAACTTCCTCACCTCCTGGAACTCACAGGCTTTTTTCTTTTGGTGTTCATTGTCTCTCTTCTCTTCCATCTCTATTAGTTTTGTCACTATGAATACTCTAAATGCTTTATCAGAGAATTCCATGAGTTCTATTGTACTATCTGTGGATGAAGAAGAGTTATTCTTTTCCCTTGGGGGTGAGGTATTTTCTTGGTTTCACATCTTTCTATTGCCCATGCAGTAATTTCTAGCCATCTGATGGGTTATTTGTTTCTTCCTAATTTCTAGAAGATCAATCTGAGTTGTCAGAGGTGCATAGGCAGATGTGGTCTGCAGACTCTTTGACATTGTGTTTTTCTCCCTTTCTGCCACAGATTCAGTGGGAGTTGAGGAATATGAGGACCCAAATAGTATTCGGGTTTTGGTAACTATATTAACAATGTTAAATCTTCCCATCCATAAATGTGGGATGTGTTTCCATCTATTTAAGCTTTCTTTTTTTTTTTCCTGGAGAGGTTTTTGCTATGGGGTATGTGCGCTTGCCAGAAAGACAGAGAGAGACAGAGAGACAGAAAGTGAGAAATCACCCCCCCCAGGGGGATGGCCATAAGAATTTTTTAAAGGAAAAAAATGTGATATAGTTACATAAAATAGAACCTCAATTTGTTCAAGATTTATCACTATAAAACAGCAAATGGTCAGGAACAGATTCTGCAGTCAGAGACCTGACTTTAGCCCCAGGTCCAACACTAGCATCTGCATGCACTTAGAGAGGTCTCTCCCACTCTTTGGTTTCATCTACCTCATCTGAAAAATAATATCTCCCGTAAGAGTCAGAATGAAGATTCAAGATCATCATGCATAAAGCACTCATTACAATCCCTGAAATTGAGTAAGCATTAAATAAATGACACTTATTTTATTTTTTTAGTTTGGCTATAGGGCACATGCATTCACCAAAGACAGAAAGAAAGATAGTGAGAAAATGAGAAATCATTCCTCAGAAGGAATGGCCACACTGCAATCCCTTCTCTATTCTCCTCTTCGGATTTGGGGCATACACGCACACATGCCCTGTGTATTTTTCAAGCCTCCAGGTTCAGGACTGCACAGTCGGCCATGTGGGATCCAGCTGCCTAAATCACCACACTGCCAGCTGACCCAATAAATGACATTTCTTATTGTTGTTAAAATTGCATTATCAATTCATCATATACTGAATTCATAAATAATCAATTCCCAACAGATCTGAATACAGTGAAATTTTCTTCACACTAAACTAGACTGAACATAATGTATTTATGTGCAGATTCAAAACGTACCTCAAACTGCAAGATGGCTATCAAAATACTATATGTAGTGTCTATACCAGACTTACTTCTTCCCGTCTATGCTCATGGGCACTTGCGTTGTTTCTAATGTGCCATTATTATGAATAGTAATTCTATTAACATTTTTACTCATACCCTTTAGTGTGTGTATTTCTCTTGGGTGTAAACCAAGGAGTAGAACTGCCGGAAGATAGGGTAGATATACATTCAGCTTTCGCAGCTTCTGTCAAATAGTTCTTCGCAGTGATTACACCGGTTCCTCTTCCCACCAGCAGTGGCAGTCCCAGCTGCTCTGCATGCTGGCCAACATTCCGTGTTGCCTGTCTTTTCCATTTTACTCATACCAGTGGGTGTGTGGTGGTATCATATTTTGGCCTTAATTTGCAATTTCCTGATAACTGATGAAAAGATGCTCAACTTGGGACCAGCAGTTAATGTAATGGCTATGTCGTTGGACTCCTATGTAGTCGACTGCGGTTCGAGTCCCGGACCCAGTGGCTTAAACTCACGCCGGGTGCGTGTGTGTGCGTGCCCAAGATCCCGAGAGGAGAATGGAGGAGTAGGGATTGCGGTGTGACCATCCCCCCGGGGGGTGATTTCTCGCTTTCTATCTCTCTGTCTCTCTCTGTCTGTCTGGCGAGCACACACGCCCTATAACAAAAAC